TTTTTGGTAGTAAAAGGGACTAGCTATATGAAGAATGCGTATTGTTTATGCATACGCAAATAAAAAAAAAAAAATAAATTAAATTAATACCTCTTAAAATAATAAAGAATACTCAATGAAGTATGTTACACATTAATAGAAGTAATTACTAACCTTTTTGAGAATAAAAAATTAATAGTTGTATGGAAAATATATGATTAGCCATATAGTCTATATATAGTATTATCAACCTATTCTAAATAATATTTAAATAAATAAAGTGAATAAAAGTATTTTTATTTGAACATGTTAAAATGTGAGGAAAATGCATATACATAAACACATACACAAACAAAAATTTTCTTACATTCAAAATAAGCATATTTTAAAAAAATATTTGCTATAAATGTAGATATGCTAAAAAAAAATATAGGTAAATTTTATTCTCTTTTTTTTTGTTACTCATAGATATATAAAAAGTATTTTTTTTTTATTGTGACGCTGACTTAAATTTTGTTAATTTTTCTTTTTTCGACAATTATTTTTCTTTAGTATTATTATTTTTTTTTTTAATGAAACATTAAAAATGAAAGATACAGTGTGTCATACATAGAAAATTGTATAAATTAAGGACAACAGGAGTTAACTGATGCAATTTATATTTGATATTAATTAATAAAATTGAATAATTTTAGTATTATTTTAATTTAATAATAATCAAATAGGTAGAGTTATCCCTGCATGCCACAAATGATATGTGTTTATTACTAACAAGGTCATTGAACAAGTAACTTATAAATCACAAATAATAGATAATAAAAAAAAATTAGTATATTTTCTTTTTAGAAAAACGAGGAACAATGAATTCAGAAAAATAATTTTATGTGACAATTTAAAAAAAAAATTTTGTACAACAATAATAAAAATTTCATGTTTATAGTAATTACATAATATAATTTGTATCCTGTTAATTGTTTGTGTTTGTTAATTTGAGAGTAATGAATTAAAATTGCTAAACATTACTCATAATATTATAAATAAATATATTTAATTAAAAATTGATGTCTAAGATTTAAATTTTTAATAGAAATATGTGTCTTTATTAAAGTAAATAAACACCTCTTAAAACAACAAAATGTTCAATGAATTTGATTTACTAACTGGATGTTCGGTTACTTTGCTAGAGTACTGAACAAAGAAATTAATAAAGAGCATGTAGATTTAACTCTACGGTTTTGATGTATTTATATATATTTTTATATGCTTCGAACGAGTGGTCCTTAATTATGTGATCTACTTCGTTCAGCATTCTTTAATTTCAATAGGCATTTATTTACTTTAATAAAAATCCTTATTTTTATTAAAAATTTAAATCCTTATTGTATATTGATTATTAATTAAAAGTAAATTATTTATTTCTTTATTATAAGTTATGTTGAGTAATTTAAATATATTACTGTTGAATTAACTAACATTAACAATTAGTGAAAATGCAAATTAATTATATGAATATTAATTACGTGAAAATTTTATTGTCATATGTATAAAATTTTCTCTCACAAATTAAAAATATAAATATTGTGCAAATTAAACTCTTTTATATGTAAATATTTTTATCTGTTTAAGATCTCATTTTTATTGGTACTAAATATTACTCCCGATTTTTATCTTACCAACTTTCTCTCTTTCCTTAAATCTTTTAAAAAAAAATAAATATATTTTTTTTTTTTATGTCTTCATTTATTAAAAGAAAAATAAAAAAAATTCAATAATTTTTTTTTTTTTTTTTTTTTTTTTTTTCCGCGTGTGCATAACCAACTACGCATTCTTCATATAGTTGTTAATAAAAGGCTTTATTAACCTTTTTGGAAAATAAAAGGATTAGTTAAATGAAGAATACGAAGTAGATAATGTGCACACAAAAAAAAAATTGATAAAAAAAAGAAAAATCAATTAGAAAAATATTTTTTACCAATAAATAAAAAAAAAATAAAAAAAAAAAAAAATAGAATTTTTATTTTAGGAAATGAAATAGTTTTTGTGATGAATTTTGTAAAAGAAAATTTTATACATATAACAATAAAATTTTCATGTAATTAATATTTATATAATTTTTTTTGTATTGTCAGTAATTGTTAATGTTTGTTAATTCAACAGCAATATATATTAATTGCTGAATGTAACTCATAACAAATAAACAAGTAATTTAGAATTAATTAATAATCAATGTTCAATGAGGATTTAAATTTTCAATAAAAATAAGGATTTTTATTAATGTAAATAAATGCCTGTTGAAATTAAAGAATGCTGAACGAAGTAGATTACATAATTAAGGATCACTCGTTCGAAGCATATAAAAATATATATAAATACATCAAAATCGTAGAGGCAACTCTACATGCTCTTTATTAATTTGTTTGTTCAGTACTCTAGAAAAATCATCGAATACCCAATTAATAAAACACAAGGTTATTGAATGGACAATTAATAAATCAAGTGTATATAATTTTTTTTTAAATTACTTTTTTCACCACGACATCACTTATGTATTCGATTCACCTTTCTATAAATACGTTACTATCTTTTTAAGTTATATTTTATATTCTTGAGTCTTCTGTGATGTATTTTTTGGACTTGTTTTATTTATTGTCAGAGTAAAAGATATAGTATATATAAGTATTCTGTTTTCTGTTACATAACTGGGTACTTTCAATAGACTTATTCTTGGAATTCGTAGTCTAAAAAATTTCCATAATTCATTAATACTAAATTCATTAGGCTCTTTAAAACATAGATAAGAGTCAACATATACTTTACGATACCTAATAAATGATCTCATAGACCTTTATACACTACATAATCATTTAGAATTTAACAGTTTCTTTTTGTAATGGATGTATTTTTCCGAATCTTTAAATAACTTTTTAATTAGATTAATTTTTAATTGTAACATAATAATTATACCGTCATCAGTGCATGACTATTCTATTCATTTAATATAAACCTCTTGTGGAAAGGATTCCATTATTATAGAGGTCTATTTTTTTTTAACTATCTCATCTAAACTGTATTTCCTAAATCATAAAAACATTTGAAATATTCATCAAAAGAGCTTTCTTCATGTTTTCTTAACCCATACAATAGCTTTATTCTTAGAATCATTTGTATCAACAATGACTTTAAACGCATAAGATTTACTTGAAGATACTTTATCATTAAAAATACATAATCCACAATTCTTTATGTCAATATCCATCATTATTTGTTGCTAATCCAATGAAGCTCTTCACGAGTCGGTTTTAAAAAATCATACCGATATACTCAATTAATTTATGAATTGAAAATTCATAGGCTCTTATAGTGCTACTAATAGTCAAGTTAATAAAGAGTAAGTGGAGAAATCTTTACTAAATTTACTTATTATAATATTAATTATTATAAATAACAATTAATTAATTACAAAGTATACTATTTAATTTAACACAAAACTTATTTTTAATTTCAAAAATAAATTCTTATTATATTCATATAACTTCTCATAATTAATCATTTAGCACCAACTTTATCATTTATTTTAAACGTTAACGAACATATACACTAAATAATTAATGTCATATATAACTTGAAGTTTCTCCGTACGTAGCCTTATTCATTACACAAAAAATTAATTTCCTTTTCAAAAAAAAATTATTAAAAAAGAAAATATTTTTTTTTATGAGATAAAAATAATAAAAAAAAAAATTTCATTAACATGCAGATACATGAGATACAGTACAAGTGTTTTAGTGTACTTATTGCGCAAGTTTCATACACTCTACTCACTTTGACATGATCTCTTTATTTACCTTACATTCATAGATAAAACACTATATATACTTTATACTTATTCTTATTTCAATTAAAAAATAAGTATATAACACTTTTAATTTACTAATAATATATATAGATATAAAAGAATGTATATTTTTCCTATTAATGAAAAGGTGTATAATTTATTTACTTTCTTCAATAAAATATTTACAATTTTACATAATATAAAATTATTTTAAACAAATTATGTGTTATTAGTTTAAAAAAATTGATTTTTTCATGTTTTATAAAATTTTATAGAATAATTTTTATTATTTCTTTATATAGTAATGCAGCACTATATATTAATATGAAATGAAAAATAAATTAAAAAAAAGCTTAGATATAAAACAAAGAACTACTATCAATAATAACATAATAGTAAAAAAAAATCTAATACAATAAAAGAATATTATGGATATATAAAATAATACAATACTTTCTTTTTAAATATTTCTTTGATGATAACTATAAATATTATTATATATAATATATGATATACTTCGAAAGTTTTTATTGTGATGCAGGCAGAATAATTAAAAGAATTATTATAAAAGTATTTATGGTTATTCTTATGATAAATGAATGCGTTGGTTAATTTTCGTTTTATTATGAAATTAAAAAAATAATATATATATGTATATATATTTAAAGATAATATAGGTGTTTAACATTTTGTTATAATGAAAACAATTTTTTAGCATAAAAAAGATCTTTCCTTAATTTTTCATTTTGTAAATAGCATGGTGAATTATTCGAAAAGGCTTATAGCTAAATCATCTTCATTATACTAAATTTGCAGTACTAATATTTTAAATTTTTTGTTTCTCCTATAGAATGTAATAAAATATATTTTGTCATTAGCAGAAAAATAATTCGTTTTTTTTCTTTTTTTTTTATAGAAATAATAATTTTTTCTTAAAATACTAATTAGGAAAAACCTTCTATTCTAAAATATTACAAAAAATGTATTATTTCATACTTTAATTAGATATAATTTTTATTTGAAAAATTTATGTTAAATTAGAAAACACATTAAAATGGCAAAGTAACAAAATATATCACTTCATAAGGTTTTTTAGAAAAACGTTCTCTCAAACTTAACTTAGGAGAATTTTCTTCGTTATCATTTGACTGAGAATCATTTTCTTGATCATCATTTGACTGAGAAGCATTTTCTTGATCATCATTTGACTGAGAAGCATTTTCTTGATCATCATTTGACTGAGAATCTCTTTTTTGGTCTATACTTGCTTCATTGTCATTTTCCCTTATAAGGCATTCTTTAATACAATCAATCTTTGCATAAATAGAAAAACATGGACTACAAGCAACTAAACATTCATAATCATTATTTTTAGAAGGATTTTCATCAGTGCTACTATTTTCCTTAGGAATACCTTTATCAGTGATTTCATTGCTTTGACATTTATTATTTTTTTCTTCATTCCTTTGTGTTAATTTCCTTGTATTAAATTTATGTAACCATTGTTTAAAAGATTCTTCGTTATTTGACTTAAATGTTTAATAAATTCAATTTAAAAATTAAATATTTAAAATTTTTTTTTAGATTAATACAATATTATTTTAAACATTTAAAAGAATTTAAAATATATACAAAATATTTCATTATTTTTTATCCTACTTGTAATAATAGATAAAATAAAACAAAAAAAGATGTTATAAAAATTCTAAAAATTTTAGAGTTTAAATAACTTGTTTTATATACTTTTTCCTTATTTTCATGTATGCAACTATAGGTACATTTCTCAGGAGAACCATATTTAGCTGAAGATGCATTTGTTAATTTTACATTTTGCAAATTACGATATGCCATTCTTATCTATTCTAATATTTAAGTATAATAAAAGTTTTTGAAATAAAAAGATATTGAAAATTTACATTTATATATAACCAAGAATCTCAAAGTTAATTATTATTAAGTTTGATACCTTTATTTTTAATATAAATTAATATAAATACAATATCATAAATGAAAACAAAAAATAATAGTATATGAATGAAAAAATTCTTTAATGCAACTTCAACAAAATTTTACTTATGTTTTTTCGTAAAAATCTTATGTATTGATTAACAATAAGTTGTAAAAATAACAAATCTTTTAATAATTATTGAAGATCTAACAACTTTTTATAATTTTATTTTATAGATAAAATTTTGTAATTGAAAAAATTAAATTACTTTAAATATTTTTTACTTTTATATGTAAATTATAAAATTATATCTTATTCTTTCAATTTAGTTTTTTTATTTAATTTCTTTTTATTTTATTTTGCTTTTTTTTAAAAAAGATAGAAAAAAGAAATTTAACTTTTTTATATGCATGTATAAAGATATATATAATGGGATGAATAAAATATTTAAAATATGAAGATATCCCTTTATTTTTTTTGCTTAAATTTTTTAAAAATTAATGATTAAAAGTGATACTAATCAGTAAAAAAAAATTTTTCAAACTACGTATTTTTCAGAGTATAATTACAATACTTTAAAAAATTAATTTGCCTTCATAACATTTATAAATATATAATTCGTTATCTTAAAATTGAATGCATTACTTAATTTTTTTTTTTAATAACAAAAAAATAAACTAAAAAAAAAAAAAAATTAAAAAAATTAAAATAAATGAAATGTTGATATATATCTATTATTTTTTTTTTTCTTATCACTTTACCTATTTTTAATTTTTTAATTGCTTATTTAATATTTTATCAATTTCGTTCTTTTAATACAATATTTTACTAATTAATGTTGTATATATAAATACATTCGATTTTCTCATTAAAATAATTGATATATATCATAATAATTTTTTTTTTTCTTATTGAATATAATTTTATTAAGTCGAAATAAAAAAAATAATTTATAAAAAATGAAAAAAATTATTTAAAGAATTCACTAAAAAAAAAAAAGTGAAAAATTTTATTTTTTTTTTATATTATGTTCAGGGTTCAGGGTTCAGGTTTTAGGTTTTCAGGTTTTAGGTTTAGGG